AATATTATATTTATTAATGTATGTATTTATTATAATGTATGTATAATTATATGTTAAATATTACGAAAATGATTTTGTTTTTTTAAACTAATATAAAGACAAATTCAAATAGTGACAAAAAAATAATACAAGTAAAATTGATTTGTCTTTAATTTGTACATTATTAATTTGTGTAACTTTAATTATATTCATATAGTATTCTTATTTTAAATTTAATAAAATATCAGAATATTTATGGTCAATAATATATATATACATAATATATATGTATACATAATATATGTATACATAATTAATATTGAGATCGATATCATATCGATACTATCAATCATTAATATCAATCTACAAATTTTAATTTTGTATACCAAATAATGTCAGACATAGGTATTAAAATGAATCGATACTTTGAAAAAAGTAGCGATTTCAGTTTCATACGTTACATAAGTTTTAATCCATTTAATATTTTTTTTCTTAATTTTTGATATCATTAGATATTTCACAAAAACATTGATATTTTTTTGTAAATTAACAATAGAATTTTAAATCTCAATTTTACTTTGATATATATATATTGATATTTTATTTATCCATATGTCTGGTTGGAATAAAATAATGGGGTAAGATGAACTTTTTATTTTACTATGATTCACTTTATAATTTTTATATTTTAAAATTATTTATTGTTTCATTAGTATAATATAATATAATAAGTATATAAGGAATATATATGAATTATATATCTTTAAAGAACCGAATACAATGCTTTAATTGTTCCAATACAAATTTTACACCAACTATATAATAAGATTGACTTATTCGCATATCAAAATCGTATTCATTATATTAATATGATCATCTTACCCCAGTACCTCCGCCATTTTACCCAATACTTGGGTAAAGGTCGTCGCCCATTTGACAGCACCTCAATTGATCGGCAACCAGTCGGTATCGGCATATTCATGTTAATTACATGTATTTTAATTGCAGTGCGCCAATTCAACGGCAACAATTCAATCATTTATCGACATGGTCTCACATCTTTTCGCTAGCAACCTGAATCTTTCGCCGATCAAAGTACGATCGTGTGCTGCACATACAGTGACATCGACTTTCTATTCATTTCATCTTATTATAAAATGTATATGATGTCTATATTTATGTTTAAACAATTGAAAGTTTCTGTACCGATGTCGTGATGCTGTTAAATTGGCGATAGTTGTGAATATGTTGATGCCAGTTATCCATCAATTGTCGGCTAAATACTAAAAGATTGGATGGCAACTTTTAGAACAGCGAATTTATTCACAAATTAGTTTTTTTATGATTTTTATTAAAAGAATTATAAAATTATTTATATATATATTTTTGTTTTGTAAAACAAAAGTGTAAGATTGTTATGGTAAAAATATTAATTTTTTTTTTATATAAAAAATGAAAAAGTTACATTTATTTTTGCTTAATATCGTCATCTTATTCTTTACTGCTATATTTAATTTATAAACGTTCGTAGTTCATGGTCAATTTATATACACATATGAGAAGATATTGTTTGACATTAACTGATTGCTATATCATTAAAGCAATTTCTTTCTTTCTTATTTTAACAAAACATAATTTATTATCTTAACAGTAGAAAAAAAATATAAATCGGTTAGAAAATGATAAAATTTTCACTAATCACTATTACAATGGAAATAGGTCAGGGTGTTGTTACACATTTATTCTATTTTTTTTTTTTTGACTATGATTAAATATATGATTATGATTAAAAATATACAATATTATCAATAAAGAGAGATTATTAATAGAAATAAATGAATCCATATAATTTTGAATTTGTTATAAAACAAGAATAATAAGACGGAAGTAAATGTATTCATATATTATTTAAATGATTAGTAGTAACTTGCTTATTATATATGCTTAATAGTATATCAATAAAGATAAACTAGATAAAAAACATCCGCAAATCATTTATAAAAAGCGAAGAAAAACATTTTTTTTTTTATAACATTTAACTATTACTAAGAAATTAAGTAATTAAGAATTTTCTATAAATAAAACAGATGATTTTTAACTTTTGAATGATAGGATTAGAATTTATTTAATTAGATTTTAAAATAAATTTAAATCATAAATTGTAAATTATTATATCTAATTTTTAGATTTTTCTTTTTTTTTATAAATAAAAAATGATATAAGTGACGAGCTAAATAGTACCTATAAATCATTATAAAAAATTAAAAAAATAAAAATTTAAAAATATAAATAAAATTTATTAGCAATTAATAAATAATTTCGTATATGAAAAATATTTGAATCAATTTTGAAAATAAAAGTCGATACTATATCTCTGAAATATACAATGAATTATATGCATATTCATTATTACATCATATCTTTTTATTTGTATAACGAAAATATTATAAAATTTAGATTTAATTGTAAAATTTAATTGTAATATATTTGAATCATCTAAATTAATAAAAATTGACTAATAAAAATTATGTAATATATATATAATATTATAAAAATATAATTTAATATTAATATATATATAATAAATCATTATTATAAATATATATATAATATATCATTATTATATTATTTATATAAATCAAAATTGTTAAATTACAAAATTACAATTACAAAAGAAAGTATCAATAGTAAGATTTATTAATAAATTTTAATAAAAAGTTTGATTATTGCAACTTGTTTGATAATGATTCAAAAAATTGATTGCGTGCCAAATTGCTTTTTATTAATTTATTATCATCAGAATATTATCAGAATAATAATTAATAAATTAAGAGAATCAATTCAAATTATTTCTTTAAAATTTTATTAAATAAAAAAAAATAAAAAAATCAAATCAAATAAAAAAATTTTTTTAATTCCTAAAATCATTCTTATAATATTTATATTATATTTATCATCAATTTCTATAATGTTCATTTCAATAAAAGTGATTTATATAAAATATAATTTATAATTTTTTTCTTGTGAAGATAATTTTATTGGAAAACTTATTAGCTTCTTCATTTTTCTTTTTAAAATTTAAAAAAAATAAAAAAAATTAATTATTTAATAAAAACGAATCCTATATATATTTTCAATTATAAATCTTTATTTGGGATTAGTCAATCAATATTTAATTAAATTTAAAATAAGCCAGAATTTTAAGTAATTGTAAAAATTGTAAAAATTGTTATCCATATTGTTTGTAATTGAGATTAGTAGAAAAATTCAAGTTTTACACGCAAAAACGGTGACAAAGATGGTTCGAATCAAAAGTTCAGTGACCCTTGACACTGACTCGAGTAATACATGACACTGAGCTTATATATGTTAGAGAAGAATATAAACAGTAAAAGATAGAAAATGACAGAGAAAGGAAAGAGTAGTTTGCCTTGACCCTGAAAACCCTTTAGTTCTGTCGCCTCACACTTCGTTTACAAAAGATAGATATATTCCGTCTCTTTTCTTACTTTGATTCGTTTTCTCTAACTTCTTTGCTCTTTCTCTCTCTTTCTCTCTCTTCCTCTCCCTCTCTCTTTTTCCTAATGTATATACATATATGTATATTTTGGTGTCTTTCACACAGAAAAAGCTGACCATGCGATCGATGTTCAACGAGGCAACCAGCTGCTCGAAATAGATGAGAAGGAGCCTTCTAAATATTAAAGGAACTTATTTCGACTTAATGTGCTTTTACTAAGAAAAGAGTTATATTTTTTAAAAAATTATATTTCTATTCTTAACTTTTTTCTCATATTGCATTATCTTTTTGTTCACTCTTTTTTTATATTCTTTTTATTTTTTTTATTTTTATTTACTTCATGAGTGTAAACTCAAGAGGTTAGAGGTTTTTTTTATTAAAAAATTTTTGTTTCTTTTAAAGAAAATTTTTTTTTGAATAGTATAGACTTCTTAATATGAATGGAAAAAATGTTTATGTGTATAATACTATTGAATGTCTTATTTACGTACAAATATAATACAAATTGTTATGGTTTTCTTAATATTTAAAATACTCTATGATTTGAAATATTGAATTTTTATTTAGAAAATATTTACTAAATATAAAAATATTTAGTAAATATTTTTATTAGCATTTATTTTTGATAGATTACATATAACATAATTATTTTTTTAAAAGCATATAATGATGAAATATTAATGTAATATTATTTTTTATCGAATTTATGATTTGAATATCGAGAAAGTTACGAAATAATGATGACGAATGAATTCTTGTAATTTATCCTAGAATCGTAGTTTATCAAACGACATACCGAATCATATGATTTCTTAACCACTGATTAAATTGAATGGTATAACATGTATACATACATATATAATTGAATAATATCGTATAAAGATTTCATCACTTAATTTTTCATATATAATATAATATTAATAGTAAACGTTAAATGCATTTCCTGATGCACTATATTTTTTATTTTTTTTATTTCTAGAATTTATCGATACATTTATTAATCACATTAATTAATAAAAATTATATCTGTGATGTCAAAATTAATACAAAAAGTTCTTACTATAAAATTAGTAGGTTTTATACTAGATCAACATATGACTTTATAATTATTGAAATCTTATAATTATAATGAGATATCTAATAATTAAAATAAGAAATCGTTTAGTCTAAAATTTTAACGTATTATATATTAGATAAAGAATTGTTTTTAAGAATGAAATAAAATAATATAAATTTTACCTATAAAAACGAAATATATAAATACTGCCAGAATGATATGATTCCCAAATTCTCGTAGCAAAAAGAAATTCATATAATAATATATATATTATTTGAAAGACATTAATACTGATATATAAATACTCTATTTGTTATGGAATAAAATAGAAAAATTGATATAAATATCAAAATTTATGTTACATGAAAATGTTCTTTTAATGTGTCTTCACCTAGCGGCAAAAAGTTGTATTAAAAGTTATGCCATATTGTATTAAAAGTTTTTATAACATTATATTTCTGTACATAGGTTGTATTATTGAAAATTTAAAATGAAAATTAAAAAAAGATCTAATGCAATAAGAGTGCCACCACTTAAAAAAGCAATAAAAATTAAACGAAAATCATCAGAATTAGAAGAGGAATCAACTGTATCCAAAGCAATTGAAAATGTTAAAAAAGTACTTAAGGTTAGACAGTGTTTAAGTATATGTTATGTATTTAAATAATATTATTAATATATAATAAAATTAAAATATATTTTAATATTATAGAAAAAAAATGTTGAAATAATAAACACAGCTTCAACTCCGAAAGTAGAAAAATCATATAAAATTAATAAAACCAAAATTAGACAAACAAAATTTCAAAAAAAACATTCAAGAGGTATAATATATTTAGGACATATACCTCATGGCTTTTATGAAGAACAAATGACAGATTATTTTAAACAATTTGGAAATGTAACTAGAGTACGTGTTGTTCGATCAAAAAATGTAAGTATCATAATTATTAATTTATATATAATATAAATAAAAATAATAAATTAAGAACTTTATATATTACATATTTTATTTGAAATATATTTCATTTCCAAAATCTATTTATTTTACATTTTTTACAGATTTTACATTTAGAATCAAATTTTTAAATTACAATCAATAAACTATATAACTTATTCAATCATTTTATAAATAAATATTTTTTTTATTTAGTTTAAATTTATTATAAAATATTATAATATTTTAATTTTTCAATTTTTAATATATGATTCTATTATATGATAATAATATAAAAATAATATAAAATATATGATATTAATATAATAATAATAGGTAAAATACAATCTCATAATAATATGATAATATGATATTTTTAGACTGGTAGAAGTCGTGGTTATGGATATGTGGAATTTATGTATCCTGAAGTTGCTAAAATAGCTGCAGAAACAATGAATAATTATCTTATGTGTGGAAGATTATTAAAAGGTATCATAAAAGTTATGCAACATTATTAAATAAATTTTTTAATTAAACTAAATTAATATAATATAATATTTTTATTTAGCTACATATATTCCACCTGAAAAACAACATAGTGGTTTTTTTGTTGGTAGATCATGGACAAAAGAAATTTATCCTAAAATAATAAATAGAAATAAAATTACTAAGATAAGAAATGGAAATATTGACAAAAAAAAGCATATAAGATTCGTACAAAGTACAAAAGATAAATTATTTACTTTAGAAAAAAAATTAAAAGAAAAAGGTTTTGATATGAAATTTATACCAATTGATGATTCTAAATAATATTAAGGAATATTTTTGTTAACATTAATTTTTTATTAAAAACAAAAATAATTACATGTTTATTCATATTTATATATTATAAATAGCAAATCATTTTAGAAAATATTTTTTAAAATAATGATTTTGCGATATAAATAATTTAACTTTACTTTAAGCTTTTTATTTGAAATAATATATTTAATTGATTGATTTATTAAAAATTTTATAATTCATTTAAAATATCAAATCTGATTTTCATATATCTTCTAATTATAAAAAAAAGCATTAAATTGTAAAATTATATTTTCTTCATTTAATTTTTATTTAAAATTTTTTGCAATGTAATTAATAATTTCAAAAATATTTCAATTTCTAATCCCAGGTAACTTATACAATAAAGTAGATTATAATAGATATAATTAAGAATTATAAAGATTTGTTATTTGATTACATGTAATGATTTAATGTAATTTTATATTTACAATTAAATTTTAAATATTTAAAATTACATAAATAATTATCAAGATACATTAAACTTTTCCGATTCATTTATTAATCCTGCTTTTGTCCTCTTCCACTTCATGCGTCTATTTTGAAACCATACTTTTACCTAAAAAGTCAAAAAAATTTTATAATTAAAATAAACATTTTGTGATTTATTAACATTTACAATATTTTTTATTGTGATTTTTGTATATAATTTATACAATGATAACAAATTATATCTTTTCTTTTTTGTTAAGATTAGAAAAAAATAAATGATTTAAGATGAATTGCATATTTATATTTTTTCATAAATGCTCTAATACATATGTACATTAAATTATTTTTGAACAATGTTAATATTCTAATATTTTTTTATATAGAATAAGGATTTAATATATACAAAGAAAAATTTTTTACTAAAAGAATAATACAATTATTATAATGCAACAAACAAGTGCATATTATTATATTTAATACAAAGATAAGATAATTATATATCTTAAATCATTTATTTTTGTTCACTTCATAATATATATATATTACATATTTTATTACATATTATTTTTTAAGTTGAACTAAAAAAAGAAAGGATTTGTTATGTATTCTTCATTATTATATTAAATAAATAATATTTTTATAGTAATTAACTATTTAAATTTCATTATTCTATTTATATTATTCAATTTGATTAATTTTATTAAAAATTACTATAAATTTTAATTGTTTTAATCATAATTGTTTAAAAAAAATTTTTAAAATTGAAATTACTTTTTTTTTTCTTTTCTTTTTTTCAAAAAAATTTTCTTTTCTTAATTTTTTTAACATTTGTGCGATTTTCTCACTTTGAAACATTTAGATATAAATTTATTTACGATATTTATTAAACAAATATCTTTTCTAAATATAAATTTATCGTTGTTTTCTTTTTTATTTTAAATTTATTGAGAGAGAATACATTTTGAACAAATTTAAAAAATAGAAAAATTAAATACCAATGGTGCTATCTTGCGTTTGAATGCTGCGTTTGAAAACTTTAATTTATTACTAATACAACAAAATATAGAAAGAGGTATTTGTGACATCATAACAAAGATATTGTGCGAGAAGAACAAATATATTATTATTTTTGATTATGCTCCCCATTACTTCAAAAATAGGATATTAAAAATTAATATTTAATCTTTTTTAATTTTGTTTGAAAAGAATTTCAAATTAAAATTTTTATGAGAAACTTCTTTGAAATCTTATTTTTAAAAAGCAAATTTAAAAATGCAAAAATTTTTAGTAAAACATTATTAATTAATTTTCAATATTGTGTTTTTAAAATGGTGGGGACATATAATATTTTCTTTGTATTATGACGTCACGAATACCTCCTTGCATATTCTGCTATTCTAGTAACAAGTCGAAGCTTTCAGCGTTCAAACGCGAGATGGAGCCACGGATATATAAATTTTTTAATTTTTGTTCATCTAGCCTATAAGTAAAATATAGTTTATGTTTCTATATGTTTTTATATGAAAATATATATTTTTATATTATTATATTATATTATATTTATTATATTCATCTATATATATTTTTATATTCTTAAATTTCAGATGGATATTTTATATATTTTTATATACAATAAACGTTTTAAATATTAAATAAATAAGATAATAAAAAATAATGGAATAAATATAAAGTAAATAAATAGTATATGAAATTTTTAAGAAATGATTAAATTTAGTTTTTGTGATAATATAAAAATACATAAAAACATATCAAGTTTTAAAAAATTTTTACAATATTTATGCTAATTTTTTTTCAAATTATATTATTTTAATTATAAACCCGTAAAATTATAAGATTTAGAAAAAAAAATTTTGTCTATGTTCACGATATTTCGAGAATCAGTTCCTTCCAATAAATTATTATATCTTCATAAACAAAATTATAAATTCGAATAAGAATTTTTATTTCTTGTAAAAAATTTTAATTTTATATTATATATATAAAAAAATATAATTCGAGAAGTGCATGTGAAATTTTTCTATTCTCAAAAATTTTTTACAAGACAGTGTATTGTAATTTGATTATTGTAATGAATCTGTGCATTTATTTTATAATCAATGTACACGCATATTAATAACATGGATTTTTAAATTTTTAAATATATACATTCAAAATCACAATTTCTATTAATAATGAGTTGAAGATATCTCATATCATTTTAAAAATATTAGATTATTAAAGTGAATTAATTAATTAGAAATTTACCTGACGTTCTGTTAAATCTAGAGCAACTGCTATTTCATAGCGACGTAAACGTGTAAGGTAATTACTATGCGCAAACTCGTATTCAAGGTGTCGAACTTGGTGTTTCGTAAATGCAGTTCTTTCTTTACGAGGTTTATCGCTAGTTAATCTCTTATTTGTCTCTGAAATAAGAATTAATAAATTTATTTTAATAAATTATAATAAAGGTATGATTTTAAAAACGATGCAAAACTTTTAAATAAGAATCAGAATAACATCTCACATTTTAAAAATTATCATATAACTATACATAAAAATAGTGATAAAGTTGAAATCTAAATTATAGAAGAATAGTATCTTATTTTAATAATCATGGATAATCATGTAAGTAAATATTGATTCATCATTATTTTTTTAAAATTAATTAATAATAAAATTTTTCAAAACTTTTCTTCTAATAAAGTATCAGATTAGTCTTATTAAATTTCAATTTGTCATAAAAAAATTTCCTGAATCATATATCAGTCTATTATTGTTCGAATGATATTGAATTTAAGACTCAATATAAATGAGCTACACGATACTGATTTCATTGCAGTGATATCGTGCGATTCGGCAGGTTATGTGACAATCTTTGTGTATAAAAGGATGTTTTTAATAATACAACGTATACGACTGTACAATCTTGAAAATAAGTAATATAATAATATCGAATTATTATTGCGAATTTGTAATAGTATCATATCATTTATGTGCAAATATTTTTTTGAAAAAAATATTGACTTTTAAAAAATATATATTCTTCATATGACTACTTGAAAAAAATTAATAATATTAAATTACAATATTAAATTATATCCACTTCTATTTTATATAACATTTATATAAAATATTTTTTCAACAAATATTAATTTAATTTACTAGTTATTATTTAGAAGATTGTATATCATCCTGTATATCATGTATATCATATATTTATATCATATACTGTATCTCAAAAGTTATTTAAACTTATTATTATTATACTAAAAGTTATTTTATAAATAATTTAATTTTGATAAAAGTTTATATATATACAGTATATAAAACAATTCTAAATATGGATTTGTATGAGAAATTTTTGTAATAGGATAAATTCAATTCCAAATCTTCAATATCTTTTCTCATTTTGAAATTTTTGATAAAGTACTAAATTCTGAATATTTTATAATTTTACTCTGTTTTGCATCATCATGAAATTACAAAAAATGTATTAAAAATTTGAACTTGAATTTTTATTTTTATCTTTTTAAAATTTTGATAATATTTTAATAAAACGAATTCCTCAAGCAACCCATTGTAGTTGCAAAATTTCGTTAAAAACAGAAAATTCACTAGAAAATAAAAAAAATGTTCAAATATTATATATTGTTAAATTATTATTAAATTATTATTATTATCAATGATTTCTGCATTCGTTCTATTATACGTATTACATATAACGTAATTCTAGTAAGATTTTAACCAGTGTGTTTTTTATTCAGAAAGCGGCGGTCAGATGAAAATAGCTTCATATTCAATGCGTCATTACCAAGCTGCTCCCGCGTACCAGTTAATAAACGTGCCGCTATAATGTAGGTTGTCGGAATCACAGGATTATCTACGGGCGATGATGTATAAAACATGGTCGGATCGGTGGTAAAGCCCTTAGCCTTGCTTCCGTACCGCTATCTCTATTCACTATATTTGTTAACTGACGTCAATCGAACAAATATGGTATATGCAATTTTTTGAATATCATATTTTTCCCTATTGGATTTCTCAATGTATATCAATCTTAAAAAATTTAATTTTTCAATGAAAACTTGATATCGCAATGTTATTTTTATATCTATTTCAAATAAATCTACCATGTTTATTAACTGACGTCAATCGAATAAGTATATATAATATTTTTGAAACGAATCGTTATTTCTCTATTGGATCAATATATATTTATTTTACATGCTTCTCAAAGAATTGAATTTTTCAATAAGAATCTAGTACCAATTTTATTTTTGTGTCTTTAATTTCAAATATATGGAATATATTAATATATTCATGAAATATCTTCGAAGGATCGATTTATAATACTCTTAATAATTCTTTCAATTAATTATAACTTAATAAATAATATCTTTATACAAATAAGATCTTTTTTTTGTATACCAACTTTTAAATTTATTTTGATCTCTGAAAAATCAATTCTTCCACAAATATATTATATTCTCTGTATAAGAAATTAAAGATGAATGGTATAAATAAGCAGAGAATGATACTGATATATGGGAAAAATAAGTCTAAAAAAGAAAACATTTTCTCATTTGATGCTTTGTTTTTGAATAAATAATTATCAATTTTTTTTTTTTTTGGTTACGTAGATTGAAAAGAGATTATTTTATCCGCAAAAACAAATGAAAAATGCAAAATGTAATTTGCTTGTTTATATGTTAGTTTTTGAGAAAATCGAGATTGAACATACAGTCAAGAAATAATTAAATATTGAATTTTGTAAGTTTTCAAATTCGATTTCCAAGGAAATTATTTTTAAAATAAAAAAATTGTTTTTTAATAACAGTATACATCTTCAAATATATAAAAATGTAAAAAATATCACAATTCATTTTTATACATATTATTTATTTTGAAAATTATGAATATATAGTTTATTTATATATATATATATACAATTTAAATAAATATTTGAAATGGAAATAAAAAATTTATCCTTATTACATTTATTACATATTAAAACAATTACACGTGTTTGTGTAAAATATTTTAAAATGATTTTATCGTATTAAATTCTTTACTATAAGGATAAATTTTTATGATAATTTCATCTTTTATTACATGTAATGATATGAAATGAGAATGGTAGTTATGTTGCTTGATAAATATTTAGACTACGCTGGCTCCATTATAGCCATATTGGCGACGGTAATGCCATAAATGAAGTTAATATTGCGTTCATTATTAACCATTGGAAATGGTGAGTATGTTCGAATTATATATTATAAATATTCTTCCATGCAATATTTTGAATTACATTCTCTCAAAATATTTATATCGAATTTTTGCTTCAATCTTACATGCTGATAATATTTTATATAAAATTATCTTACCACGTTCTTGTTCTATAGAGCACATCTCTTTCTCAAAGGAATTGTTGCTCCATAAATAATATTTTTGTTCATTCTCAGTATTTTGCTCGGAGTTTTGACACGGTGGAATCTCCCAAGCGTGAAATATTTTCGTGGTCGTAGAAATTTGACGATCTTGAGTTTTTTCGCAAACAAAATCTAAAGATTGTTCCATAGAATTTACGTTTACTTTTCCATCTATTGTATCCTTTTCATCGATACTGGACTTTTGATGCAAGTATTGCTGCCATCTTCTTGTGAGGAAGAAATTATTTAATAACAAAATCGCTATTTCAATTTTAATATGATTGTTTGATTAATGTAATGATGATACTTTTTAGTTAAAATATAAAATAAATTAATAATAATATGAAGAAATTTAAAATTAAAATTGAATTATAAAGAAAATTGAAAAAGATATTTTAAAAAAAAATGTAAGAATGTTATATATCTGAATTTTTTTTTTTTTATAGTTATTTCTTATATATATATTATATTAATTATTTTAATTATTTAATAATATGAATTTGTCATCTCATTGATTATTATGTTTTTATTAAATAGATAAAAAAATTCGTATACATAAAAAAATAATAAAATTTATTTTAATTATGAAATATACATATATATATATATATATGTAAATGTATATATATATATGTAAATGTAATATATATATATATATATATATTACATTTTAACAAAAATTTAAAAAAAAGCATTGAAATTTGCAAAAATAAAATTGAAATTACAATATTTTGTTCATTCCTAAATAATAATCATAATCATTTTCTTTTCTTTCATTTCCTAGAATAGAATAAAGTTATTCATCAGATGTTCTTTATAGAAGTTATTAAAAATTATTTAATTTTTATTTTTATTTTTCTGAAATGTCACATCTATTTGATTTAGTTTTCATTGATTCTTTTTAAAATTAATTCTTTTTATTCAAATAATTTCACGTTTTAATATATTAATTTCAATAAAATATCACTGAATATTATTCTATTGATTTGGTTCATTTTAATATTTCTTATTTATTATTAGTTTTATAATAAGAAATATAACATAAAAAGATTTTAAAATAAAATCTAAACAAATTATTAATCATAAATTTGAAATGAAAATAATCATTTATATTAAATGGATGTAATAAATTTACTGATATAATATAATATATCATTCATTTTTTAATTAATTAATTAATTAGCGAAAACTATATTAAATAGTTCTAAAAATTTCATTTCGAAATATCGAATTTGACAATTGAATAAGATATTGTTAAAAAAAAATCGAAACAACAATATATCTTTTTTGTATTTATTAATAATTCAAAAATTTTTAATTTTGAATTGTATCTCATAATAAATGAAGGAAAAAATTTCATTAATAATCACAAGTTGCAATATATAAAGTAATTATTTTTGTATACCTGTATATTCGGCAATTTCGATTTGTGTTAGAATGTTGAATGTTTGTGGCACAAAACGACGACAGATTGATTTCATTTAATGCGTTAACTGATGTTGAAATATTGCAAGGATTTGAAAAATTGTTCCAAACGTATCCATGAGTGAACGAAGACTCGCGATTTCCATGAAAGTAAGTATTCTGAATATTCAATTCGGAAGAAGACGATGTCAGCGATACTGATGGATTTTCAAAAATATTCTCGCTATATTGTTGATTTGTTGTAGCCATATTTTCTAACCAAGACATTTCATCTAAAATCAAATCAAAAAAATTTTACGTACGTTTATTTTTTAGAAAATTGCAATGTAAGATATTAAAATATATGCGATATATAATTAATAAAATAATTATTTAAAAAGTATTAGATCATTATTCGGGAAATTTATTTAATGTTAATTTCTGTGATTCGCCATTTGAAAAATTTAAATTAAAAATAATAAATGATATTTATGTTGATTTAGAAAAATATGATGAATTTAGTGTATTAATATTATTTATATATGTCATATTGTTTAATTTTTTATTATTGCTCTTTCTATACAGATACGACCAATTAAGAAAAATGATATTATTTGTAATTTTTTGAAAGAAACTATAGTTATCATGATTTAATTTTGTTTTAAAAACATATAAATAATTTTTTGCAATTGAACTTTTAAAAAAACATCACTCAAGAGATGATTTACAGGATAATAAATATAAATATAATACAATAAAATTTTTATTATATTTGACACATATAAAACAAAAAAATCAAATTTATACAAATTAATTAAAAAATTAAAATGAACACAAATATATATAATGATTAAAAAGTATATAATTAATAAAATATATAATTTTAAATTATTCGAAATTAATAGGAGGTGAAAAAAAAAATATAGCAAAATTCTAATACTTACCTAAACACAACTCATAAGTGTTAACAATCCTATTATCAGATTAATATAAAGATTTATAAAATTTTCACAAAATCACATAAGATCACTAATTAAAGAATTAAATATTTAATAATTGTATGGCTCTAGGGTAGAGATAAATTTTATTCCTAAAGTAGTTACAAGATCACCCACTACTTGTGAATTGTATTAGCACCAACTTGTAAATGTCAAACAAGCACATACGACCATTCTGCGACAGGCTAGTGAAGATCCGAATAAACATGTAGTTGGAGAACATGAGAGTCGTGGGGATGGAGTAGGGCTGAAAGGACAGACAAATGTTTCGACTTAGAGAGTTATTCTGTCAAGTCCAACCAATCCGAACCTTGATCAACACGAGAAGAAACAACTAGATATTTCTGAGATTTCGGTTACTTTGAATGTTGGTCATGTTTTTTTGTCATTTTTTTTAAATCTAAAACTTCTAATACAAATATGCATTACGATTTATTTTGTTTAAATCTGTAATATATATATTAGAGTAACTATCTAAAAAGATCAGATATTATTTTAATTTATCAATCTTTTCTATCTATATTATTAATTATTTTATTTTTTTACTTTTTATTATTGATTTTAAAGTTTTATTAAAATTATGGTTTTTTTTTTACTATGAGAAAATAGTATATATTATAATTATATATTTTTTTGAATGAATAATTCATATTATTGCTAATATTTTACTTTCTGTTATTGTATTATAATCAAAAACATAATGTTATATATTCTGAAAATATAATTGTTGTATAATAACACATTCTATTTTCATTGGAAATTTTTCTTTAAAAGGCAGAATAAATTTTTATTTCATTTACATTTGCATTTCATAAATTTTCTGTTACAAGAAATGTCCATTAAATATATATAATATATATAATATATAATAAAAATAGATTTATGACAATGACTATAAAATTCATTCATGTTCTTCATTTTATTTAAGTTTTAAGTATATAAGTTTTATGTATATATATATAATTAATAAATAGATTACATAGAACAAATGTAAATCATCATATTTTCAACACAATTTTTCATTGCATCATTGTCAACTATTATTGTGTCAATGAGCGTATAAGTCAATTCTGGCTCCACCTAAGAAAACACAAGAGAAAGAATAGGGACGATGAAAATGGATAGCAATCTTCGTTCTTCGTGTTTTCGAGGGTTGGTTTCCTTTCTCAGAGGGTGACTACGAAGATCCTATTAGTCATTGGTATTGTTTACTTTCCTTTTTCAACTTATTTATATCGAATGCTTGGAAAAGGACTTCTCCTCTTTGAACATTTCTAACATCCGCTTGATCAAAAACGATCTTCTATATGAAACGAGAAACTATTAAATGTAACATAGTCTATGGAGATACATATAAGTAAGTATATATATATATATATATAATAATTCTGTTTTATATAACAACATTATGAAGATCATAAGTTATATATGAATTATATATAAAACATTACTTCAAGGAGATTCTAAGATCAATCCTTAGAGTTTCAATATTATTTTTCTTTTTTTAAATATAATCTTAACAATAAAAGATAAAGCAAAATATTAAATTATAAAATAGTTAAATTTTAATGTTTTATTATGCTTTATAAGTAATACACTCAATTGAAATTGTTTACAAAATATGAAAAAATATTAAAAATTTGTGCTTATTGAAAAATAAATTGCTCTAATCTTGTATAATTTATTGTGCTCTATATACACAAAATTTTTATTAAAATAAGAGATTTTTCATAAGATAGTGTGAAAATGAATGCTTTTGTATGTTTGTATAGATTGTATGATTGTATGATTGTATAGATTTAAGAATACTTTCCTCGTTACGATTAATTCATCGCGCACTTTAATATCATATTATTTGCATTTGCTTTTGATTAATATAAAGCATGTATACTTTTATGATTGCATTCAATCTATATATTCATCTAATATCTATTTATATATATATATAAGAAATAGCTCGCAATTTCTTTTAGAAAATTTCTTCAAATTGAGTAATGCATTAACATACAATAATAATGCATTATTATTCATTTGAAAATATCCACTTAAAATCTGTTTAAATAACTGAATTATCCATGTAAATGAAAGTTTTGCATAATCATTTATGGAAAAATGATTATCATTGTGACATATATTGAACTTGGGGATAATAAATAATGGACATGAAAGAAACGATAAATTCTTGAATTTTCTTCTTATAACATTTTTTAAATTCTGTGATATAAATTAACGAATAAAAAGATGTTATGGAAGAAATTTTATAATAAATATTATAACATGATAGATATATTAAAATTAATAAATTTTTATCTATAAATAACATAGAGTTTAATAAATTTTTTTAATTATAGTAATTTATTATATTATAACTTTTCTATTGTACTTTTCAAATTTATGAATATCTATTACAAACTTATAAATATCTATTAAAATTACTTTTATTTCATTTATATATTTAGATATTTCTAATAGTTACATATTTTTAAATATGATATCCAAGTTTCTCACAAAGCTTCTGAATATGATGAGTTTAAATTTCGTTGTAGGTATATAAATCCGTAGTTGCTGCCTGTATTTCTCATTAACCATAAAGAATAGTCATTTATTCATATACGCTATCATCAAGCTAGAAGTTACATATACTCGTTGCAATGACACCGAAATATTAAAAAAATTAAGCATGTATTAATTCTTCACGCTATAATTATAAAATATAAATTAATTAAATAAATAATTTTACACGTGTAAAATTTATAAAATTGAAAATTTAATGTTTCTATTTAGTTTTTGTATAAATAATTGCGTTTAAATTGCATAAAAATTATATAATAAATATAATAAATTATATAAAATAAAATATGAAAATTATACTTATCAACGACTGCTCATCAATTTGTTTGTTCCTTTTACAAGAAGAAATTTAATTTTCTTATATTTTATCCCATTACAAATCTTTATTGTGTTAGAATTTATATATTTTATCAATAATGTATCAATATTTGTTTCCTCACAGTAAATTGTAAGCACATTTAATTTATTATTGATTTATTTTTGACTTTCATTACTGCCTTTGAAAGAATGTTTTCTATTAGATATATCATAATTAGTATTATACGTATTACTTTACAAATATATGTACTCACATCTACATTATATGAACGACTCAACATTTGACATTAAACAATCATGTTATTTCTTACATGCATTACAAGATTCATATTTTTAATATTTTTCAAGTGTTTTTATCATTACATACTTCATGAATATCTAAACTTATATTGTTTTCATAATTTTTTTTTCTCAATATTTTTATTAACTTGTATAATCTGATTATTAAAATTAAAATTTCTATATTAAAAATCTATATTAAAATTAAAATTAGTTAAAATTAAATTTGATTCATCATTGTAAAATTTTTTTTTGTCAAGATATATTTAAAATTTTTAACTGCGAAGATTCAAGTTTATTCTCTTTAAATAGAAGTTTAACAGAGTGAAAATACTTATGGTTCTTTGAACATCGAGGCGAAATGTTTATTTTACAATAAGTCTTTATTCATATAAATAATTATAAGTAAACATTGTTAAATTTTATGGATCATCAAAATGAATGCAATTAATTGTCAGTAACAAGTAAGAAATATTACGTATATCGAAATAGGGATTTGATCTCTTAACACGAGTGGGCGTTGTCGTCTGCATTTGGAATGAAATCATCGATCAAAGAGCTATACAAAGAGTTATTTACCGAATTCTTGTATAAAGATGTCTCCTGATCTTAATATCACGAATTCCGTTTGATTGAATCTGTAATAAAAAAATCTTTTTAAGATAGTGAAAGTGATTTTAAGAAAGATTTAGTGTAACAAAATTGTAAAAGTTGAAAATTTAAAAAATGAAATCTTAAATGAAAACTGAAAAATTATAAAGTTAGTATCATTTTGAACATGTTTTCAAAAATTATTCTCCATTTAATTTATCAATTATCAAAATAAATTTAATTAAAAATTTGTAAATAAAAACTATTATTATATCTAATATTATTACATGTATGTATTGATGTTCGTATCGTATAATTTGCAATTTATATTCAAATATATATTTAAAAATATATAATATATTTCCTCTTAAATATCTTTCGCAATAAATCGTACGTGAATATAAAATAATAAATATGAAAATATTACAAAACAGAAGAAATATTCAAAATATCCGTTTACTTTTAATTAAAATGAAAAAACTTTTACAATTAATGATACCCATATGCGAATAAACAATAAACGTATAAACACGAAAATATATAAACGAAACACGATGAAAGGTCCAAAGTATCCCATTGAGAATGAAACAAGAACACTTGTACAACCGATATTTTATATGAAAAGGATACGAAAAGAATAAAGTTGTATCTTTATCGACATAAGAAGTGGTACAAGGCGGAATAAGGACCGGTATAATGAGGTATACGAAGTTTCGTGTGGTCTACGAATGTTGCTAAGTAAGGGATTGATTCACGGGCAGCTATAATACCGCCAAACCAAAGCCCTAATAGATTCAGGTCAATGCCACTACCGTTCTTCGAAGTCGTTCATTATGTGAGAAGAGAAGGCCCCGTTCTCATGCCACACAGGTTGCAAGTTGCAATACCTGTGCGGCAGGCTGGACCCAGAGATTCGCAACGAACGCATAGATATATCCACGCTGTTCATTCATTTAATCGAAAAATGAAATAATCGCTTTGTTTACAGATTAATTTCATGAGCTGTATACGTACAGAGATTAAAAGAGATCAATCGTTGCAGAAATGTAAAGAGATCGAAAGAGTTATAGTTAACTTCTTAATAGATTCTGTTTAAAATATTATTTTTTGAGTACAAAAGTTTTGAGTTGAGGTGAAGATTATTTTTCGAAAACTTTTTTCTTTCCTTATTTTTATTTATACTTTTATATGAAAAAAAATTTTTTTTATTTAAAGTTTGAATAAAATTTATAAAATATTGAAATAAAAATATTTTTACGAGATAGAAACTGATATTTTGTTCATTAATATATAAAAAAGTTGCCTATTATTGTGAATAGTATAACGATCTTAAATAATATCTT